TCAGCAGTTGCTGTCCTCTGTGTCCTTCGACTTGAAGCATTGCCACACGAGAGCTTTCTGTATTCTGATACAGCAGGTCATAGGCATTCCTATGGGGAAAAGTTCAAGCCCTCCCCTAGCTTGACTAATGTCTGCTAAGAGTGAATGAAATTTCCTCATGCCACTCGAAGGACATAAGAAATTGATTGAAGGCTTAAGATTTGTGGACGATGTGTCAGTCTTTGCAGTATACAACTGTAAGAAAGCAGGGGACAAAGAAAGAGCGGTAGGAATTCTGAAGCGATTCGAACAGTGCTACGACCCGACACTGACTTTGAAACGAACGGATGAGGGAGAAGAAGAATGAAATTTTCTTGGTTGTAGATTGAGGATTTGACAGACGTTTCCTTTCCTTGAAACCACTCATGTGCTTAAGAACGAAGAACAGCTGAGAAACGGGGGTGAACTTCAATACCGGACCTTTAAGGATTTTGGATCTTGGACCTGTAAGCGATCCAAGATGGCGGTAATTATCAGCGCACTACACCGGATCGAGCAAAATTCCTGTATAGGAATGGAAATGCTCGAATCTCTGCTCCTCCTCCGATCTGACCTGAGGAGAAGGGACTACCCACGGGACTGGTTTGGGAAAACTCTTAGGAACTTTAGCCATGGGAGACCACCGATTTGGAAGTTGTTCGCCATGCTACTTACCTAGAATGACTGAATTTGCAGCGTTTGGTTGTTGTTGTTTTGTTTTCCTGTCCTTTTTCGAGAACTGTGTGATGGTATGTAGGGACCAGGGCTTGCCCTCACAGTAGAACTGAGCTGATGTCAAGTGGACTGTTTAGCCAGTTCCATATGGGAACGGTGATTTCTGGGACCAGTGACGCACCGAGAGTGGCGGGCAGTGCTTAATTGCGCAGTTCGACCATTTTTGGGCATGGTTTTGAACCTTTGCCGTTATTGAATTACTATAGGTTAGTTAACGTGTCTTTGGAGTTTGACTTGGTCTTTGGAGTGTGGATTGTTACGACGGTCGAAGTAGACTTTTTGGTACGGTCTACGATAAAAGACCGCACTAACACCGCAGTAGTCATGTTAGAATCCTCTTTCACCGATGGGGCGTTATCGCGACTAGGGTAAGGAGGTGGGGTCGTCTATGGCAACAGGATGTGTTTCGGGGTAATGGAGTCGTGTTCTAGCATCTCATCGTTTCACCGATGGGGCATTATCACGACTAGGGTAAGGAGGTGGGGTCGTCTATGGGGACAGGATGTGTTTCGGGGTAATGGAGTCGCGTTCTAGCATCTCATCGTTTCATTGAGCGTCACGAGATCATTGTTAAATAACACTTGTTAACATGGTTACTTTTATTTGAATACCTTGAGTTGACTTTACAGCGTATAATTTGTGCGGATGCTGTTTGGCTGCCTGCTTTGCATGAGCAGTTCATCTGAATATTCTCAACTCCAAAAACTTTAAGGCAGCCCCAAAAAAAGAAGAAAAAAAAAGGCAGCCCAAAGAGCATGAGGCGTCGAAGGGAAAGGCAAGGAAAAGACAACAAACAGCAGACAAAAAAGTTGAAAAAACACTGTCAGCGCAACTATAAGCAGCAAGGCAAAAGCAATCAGGCAACACATAGGATGAGGGGAAGGGGGGAGGCGGGAGGGGAAACAACACCCTCGGGGGAGGCGGGAGGGCAAACAACACGGAAGCACACACACAACACACAAGGCAGGGAAAAGGCAAATAAGCAACAGGCAAGCAAAGCAAGGAGTACCGGGGGGGAAAAAAAAAAAAGTGAAAAAAAAAAAACCATACTTGCGGCGCACCGGCACTGTGCGCTGCGCAGTGCGCTGTGCATGGACCCAGGGTGCGCGCGCACCGGCGCACGCCGCGCATCTGGGTGCGCAGTGCGCACTGCGCACGTCTGGTGTGCTGCGCGCATGTGCGCAATGTATATTTCCATGTTCTAGCGGTAGATTCATTTGATTTTGTTCTCTCTCTCTCTCTCT